GCACTGCTCTCATTTAAGCTCTCATCATCATTCACAGTTGTTGGTCTCCCTGTCCATCCAACAAGTATGTACAGAGTGCCTACTATGTGCCACACAGTGTTCCAGAGACTGAGGACACAAGGGTGACCGAACATGGACACTGTCCTAACTATACTCCCAGCAGGCTCCTCTCTGCCTCAACAGCTCTCATTGGGGCTCTCCTCATGGTCCTCACCTGTTGGGGCTCACTTCAAATGTCACCTCCTAGAGTGACCTCCACCTTCTTCCCCTACACTAGTGCTGCCACTGTTTGCTGTCTGACTTTTCATCTGGAATGAAAGCCCCTCAAGGGCAGGGATTGTGCCTGCCTTCTTTACTTCCTTTATCTCCAGAGCTTAGAAGAGTGCTTGGCATAGGAGACTCTTGTAATTATTTACTGAATGAATAAACTTTTCCTTGTTTTTAGTTTCTCCCTCCTGCACAGTGCTAGCAAAATGATCTTTTTATAACAACAAATCTCAGACTATCTTGCTATGCCTGAAAACTTCTGTGGCTCCTAGTTGTGTACAGCTTGTCAAATTCCTTTATTTTTTCACTCTGTATTCAATGCCCTGCCCAACCTGGCCTGGGTCTAACCTCTTCTCCAAAATACGAGAGAAGCAGTGAAGTTAAACGGTTAGAGTGTGGGATAAAAGTTCAGCTCCAACACCTACTAACTTACCAGACAACTGACCTGGGACAGATCTGGGACTCAATTTTCTGTAAAATGTGGCTGGAGTACAGCTCCCAAATCAAAGGGCTGTTGTGAAGTTTAAACTAGTTACTAACTCCAAAGTACTGAGAGACATTCCTGGCACAAAATAATAAGTGCTATTTACTCCTGTCACAAGCTTGGATTTTGGTCACATCAATCTACTCCTTCCCTAAACAAGCCATGCTCTTTCATACCACCCCTTTCCTTTGTCACGTGTTATTTTGTAAGTCTACCACTGACTCACTCTGACTGCATATGCTGATTAATGTGAAGTTCCTTAGAGCAAAAACTATCTCCAATTCTTTATAAGGTATGAAGTGCTGACTCACTTGATAAATGTTAAACCAGGATCATTACCTAAAATTAGTCATTTTAATAGTTTGTATTTACATAAGAAAGTTCAAGGTGAACTTTAAAGTTTATTTGGTTTTCCTTTTCTAGTCACTTAAATGCTGACTTCTAAGAATAACTGAAGGATTAGAAAGCTTTCTCCTCCCCAATTTTGCAGGCTCTCATCTTCCACCTACTCCTTTCTCACCATCATTTACAAAAATAATGCCATAAATACTGACCCCAGGGCCGTCAAAGCGATCCTTAAATACTATGTTAAATGTAAGGGCTATTATTACAACTAGTAATACTGATAGATCTTGCCTTGCCAGTAATTACCAGCAGGAACTTGTCCAATAACATGGAGAAACACTGTTTTTTTCTGTTCCCTCCACCCCTCTACCCCCTCCAGGGAGAAATGCTGTACTTCACAAGTTAGGGACAACATGTTATCTCCCAACTGGAAACAGGTGAAAAACAAAGGTCAAAGTTGTAAATAAAATGAGATTGATAGGTAATTTAAAGTCTGGAATATTCTGAGAGCTTGGGAGGTTTTTGGGTGTTGTGCCAAAGGGATAGAATCTGATCGGTTCCAGGGGTTCTGAGAAGCCTAGGAAAGGCAGGAGGAAAAGCTTGCCTTTCAACACATCGCCTGTGGCAAGTCCCATACCTATGAAAGATATCTACCTGCAGGGCCTAGATCCTTCCCTATCCTCACTATTCTAGTCTAATTCAAGCATATCATAGGCTAGGTAACCATTAATTATACTGTGTCCTTGCTTACGAACAACCATCATATATAATGTTGTTTCAATGGGAAAGTATGTTCCCAGTTCTAAACAACTGGCTTATAAAAGACTTTTTGGAAAATGTCTCATTCATAAGCTAGAAACTGCAGTGTTGTAACCAGCTCCCTCTGGAGAGGATGTGCCAAGTATTGTGTCCTAAGTTTTGCAGTAATGAGTAATGTAGGATATTTGGCCAAATTCTCAGATCCAAATCTGGGTTAAGCAATAAATAATATAATGGCAAGAAAACAAGAGGAGACTAGATGAGAAATGGGAGTGACTAGAGGCTGAGACAGCTGGAGTCAGACACACCAGGATTTGAAATCTGGCTCTTGGGAAGCAACTCCCTTTCTCTGATTGCCTTTCTCCCAAGAGCCCAGGGCTGCCTTTTATCACTATTTAGATCTCAGCTTAGACTTTACCAGTCAAAGGGCCTTCCCTGACTCTCCATTGTGAAGATGGCCCTACCCTCAACCTGATTTATTTTCTTTTCATTGCATTTAATACTATCTGAAATTACTTTATTGCTTCTTTATTGTCTGTCTCTCTGTAAAAGAGCATAAAATCCATGAAATATTTCACTCATGTCATGCTCACTAGAGTATATCTAGGGCCTAGTACAGTGTGTGGCACATGGAAGGATAAACATTTGTCAAAAAAAACCCAGGGCTATTGTGTGAGGATTCAATGGTGGAATAAATTATCTATCTCTTTACCCACCTACCGACCTACCTCTGTGTCTGGTACAGTGCTGCTATCCAGCAGATAACTATTATAAAAGAAACAAAACAGAGGATGGTACTGTTATGAGTCAGAAAGTACTTACTGAACAACTTGCAAATGTCTCAGAGCACAGGAGGAACCAGGAGTATAAAACTTGATTCTTCCAGGAGTCAAAGCAAAATTCAGCTACAGATTAATAGCAGCCTAAATGCTAATTTGAAGTCTGCTCATAGGGGAAAGCAGTTATGGTATTTGACAAAGTTCTCTGGCGAATGTTCAGAATTTATAGAAAACTCCTAGAAGGTGCCTAACACTATGCTGATGTTGATGACATGGGAAAAAATGGAAGAGTGGTTGTGGTGTGGGCAAAGTAGAGAATGGTTCTGCATTTTCTTCCATAAGTCAATAAAAGACTTCTGGTCCACTTTTCTCACAGGGAGCAAGCTGAGGGAATTACCTTAACAAAATGACCCCTTTCCCACATGTTGCATATAAACCCATTCTTCCAGGTACAGAGCCACACCTCTCTCTGCCCCTCCCTACACCTTTTGTTGAACAGCAGGGATGCTGCCACCTGAAGCTGTAAGCAACTGAAGACTGAGGTTATTTCACTTCCTTTCTCCTGGTGTTACAGTTATAGCTCTGGTCATGCCAGACACATTTTGGAAAAGACACTGAAGAACGGGACCTTTTAGGTCTCTCTAAGCAGTACATTTCCATGAAATCTTATCTGTACAGGGATTCAGAAAATGAACAAACTGCTGTTGCAATATTTTGAGCATAGTTTTTTTGACTCATACTTAAAAGCTGGAAGAGAGGATATTTACTTAAGATAGTGGTTTACAAACTATTTTTTAAGTGGAAGATGACTTTTTTGTAAATAAAATTTTATAAAGCTCCTTAACACACTAAGCAGATCTGTATGACACTCCTCTGGTCATAGTAGGGTGAGGTGCCAGGGCTTGCTCCTCTCAGCTTTCCTCTTGCCCTCTGAGGGAGCTCCTGACATCTCTGAGAAACACAAGTGGTTAAGGGAAAGGGGAAAGAAAGCTAATATTTAGATAAATAAACACATGGGGAAGAGAGGAAAACTTTTCCTTAATGTGGAGGAAGAGGTGGATTTGGAAGCTACCACTTTGTAACCAACATAGTAATAAGATGGGTTTGAGCAAGAATCATCAATGGTACTCAACCTGGGAGGGAAAATTTGATAAGAAGCAGGATATCTGGCCCGGCTGGGTGTGGCTCAGTGGTTGAGTGTCAACCTGGGATCCAAGAGATCGGGGTTCAATTCCCAGTCAGGGCACGTGCCTGGTTGCGGCCTTGATCAATGACTCTCTCATCATTGATGTTTCTATCTCTCTCTCTCCCTCTCATTTCCTCTCTCTGAAATCAATAAAGATATATTTAAAAAAAAGAAGCAGGATATCTGCATGATCATCAAATGTCTCCCCATAAATTGTTCAGAAGTGAGAAAACACTGCTTTTCAGGGCACAAACATCACTGGTGCGCAGACTTCAAAAATGTGAATGTCATATAAGACAAAACAAAGTCTAGGAAGTATTCCAGATTAAAAGATATAAGAGATATGACATCTCAATACACTATATGATTCTTGACTGGGTCATGTTCTGGAGGGAAAAAAATACTATAAAGGACATTATTGGGACAACTGACAACACTTGGAATATGGATTTGTCAATTCAATAAAAGTAACGAATCGGTGTTAAATTTCCTGAACTTGAAAACTATACTGGTTATGTAAGAGAATGCCCTTGTTCTTTGGAAACACATATTGAAGTGTTTGGCCTGAAGGGAACATGATATGTGGACTACTCTCAAATAATTCAGAAAAAACCCCAAAACCATAATACAGTGTTTACATATAGAGCGAGAGCAGTGGTTCTCAAAGTGGGATCCCTGAAGGAGCATCAGCATTACCCAGGAACTTGCTGGAAATACAAATTCTTGGGCCCCACCCCAGACCTAAATCAGCTGTCTGGGAGTGGGCCCAGTAGTCTATTTTAACAAGCCCTCCAGGGGATTGCAGACTCAAGTTTGAAACCCCCTGATACAGAGAGAATGATAAAACAAATGTGGTGAAATGTTAAAATTGGTAAATCTAGGGAGAGGGTACATAGGATTTCTGTATTATTATTGGAACTTTTCTGTCAGTTTGAAATTGTTTCAAAATAAAAATTAACAATAACAACAACAAAAAGCATACCCTGGGGTAATTTATTTACAGATGGGGAAAGGAAGAGACTTGGGAGGCAAGGAGGCAAATTACTGGATTTTTGTATTAAACTACAGAGGAAATAATGGGATTCTGGACTAAGGTCGCTGCAGCTCCAGTGTAGAGTGGGAAGTGGGGTATTTGCATGGTCTTCAAACAAATCAAAATATGGGTACTAAACCTACTAACCTGAATAGGAGAGTCCGGCAATCTCTATAAAGAGGTCTTCTTCAGAAAAGCTTTCTGGAAGCATGAGGAAAGCAGCAGTCACAGCACTCTTCAGGTTTTTATCTAGGGCTGACCTAAGAAGGACATTCTCATTCATTGCTATGATTTTCACCTGAAAAAAGCAGAACATTCAGAAGAAAAATTCCAGAAGAGTATTGCTCAAGCTAAGGGGTTTACATGTGCAATGGAACTATACCAAACTTAGCCCTGAAGATCTTGGAATAGTAGGCCAGTTGATACGAAATAATTATTATTCTAATAAGCAATCCCAGAATCTCCTGTTTTGTGCCAAATTCAGAGAAATCATGACACAGGAAAAAACAACAACACACCCAAATAAATATTTCTCTTAAATGGGGTTTGAAAAAGAAGTCAGTAGAAATGGAATAAATGTCCTTTGGGAAACTTAATATTATTTTACAATCTCATTGATCTTCACTTAATTTTATAGTGGACAAAGGCAAAGTTTTACTTCTTTATTTAGAACTCAACTCTTCTGTTATCCATACATAATCTGAGTAGTTCACACTCTATTTTGAACTGATTTTGACCTTGACTAAGGAAAAAGGAAAGAAAATTAGCTACGATATAAAGAACATGGCTTTTGGGTACAGGTATGGGCTCATGTTCAGGTATTTATTAGCTGTGTGAATCTGGGCAAATTACTTAACTTCTCATCTATAAAATGGGAACATGCATCGAAGAATTATTACAAAGATTGACTGAGATAATAAATGTAAGGTGCCCACTGTACTAGTAAATGCCTTGATCAATAAAACATTTGTTTCTCCTGAATACACAGCAGAAGCTGCTGTCTTTGACTTTCCCCAAATTCATGAAAACATAAATTGCTCTAGTCTGTTCTGAGATTCTAGGTTTTAAAGACTGCATTGAAGTTAAGAGAATGTGTTCAAGTCCCAGCTCCATCTCTTAATAGCTCTGTGGCTATGGGCATAATTCCTTATCAGTAAAATGGAGTTAATAACAGAATCAAGCTCTTAAGGTTGTTGGGAAGATTAAATGAGATATTACATATGAACCCTTAGCTGAAGTGAGCTTCCTTCTGTGTTTCTTGGTACATACTGCAAGAGTTTCTCTGGGCCAGAGGTTCTTACTTTTTACAAGCATCAGAATCACCTAAAGGGCTTATTGAAACACACATTATTAGGCCCATCCTCCAGAGTTTTTGATTCAGTAGGCCTAGATGACGCCTGAAAAACATACGTTTCTAACAAGTTCCCAAGTAATGTTGCTGGTGCTGGTCCAGGGACCACACTTTGAGTACCACTGCTCTAAGGTATTTACTTAGGAGTAAACTTGCCAAATTGCTCTTTGGAGCTGTGTCAATTTATACTCCTGCCATAATTATTTAAAACCATCACGCTCCTTCTGATTGATTATCTAAGTAAGAAAGGGTCTAGAAGTCCCTAATAAGAACTCTACATATCTCAAATGTATCCACCATCTCTAAACCATTTACTGCTGGCACCAAATTTTCCTCCTATTCTAGAAAACAGGGCTTAAGTTGCCTTTTATTTGTCAAGAAGAGATAACTTCTGACAAAATGAAGATGGTACATAAAAGACACATACATATAAGAAGCTCCAAGTTAAATTTTATTAGACAGCAAGGAAAGAGACTGACTAATGTATATCTCAAGGTATAGTTAGTTTTAAAAAATTAATTGTAAAAGGCAATATCATAAGATATAACTATTTTAGAAATCAGGCTTAAAAACCTAAATTCTACCTTTTACCTTCTGTTCCTACTTTTTTTCTAAGGGAATACTTACAACAAAAGCCTCTCGTCTGTTAGTTAGGTGAGCCACTTTATTCAGGACTGCCGCCTCCTCCCTTGTAATTACAAGGACTTAACAGCCCTTAATTAAGCCTTTCAGCACCTGGGTGAGTTTACTATTATTGTAATCACCTGCAGAAAGTAAAACCATGGAGCAGCCCAGTAGCAGGGCTTGCCCAAGGTTGCAAAATGAGCTGAAGGCAAAATGAGGGTAACGCCCTTGCGCCTGGCAAACCCAGCTCTAAATAGTTCGAATTATTCTCATGCCTTCAGCTAGGGATCTGCTCTGGTTGACTCCTTTTCTTTAAAGATGATTAAAACAAATGTTAAGGTCCTACTAAGAACTCCTATGTTTATTTCGTGAATAACTTTCCCAAACTTTGTACTCCAAATAGAATCACGAATGGAGGAAGGTAACCTCATCTTACTCATGGCGACTGAGGCCCCGAGTAAAAGCTTTCCCCATGACAAGCAGTGGCACAGTGAGTGAGGACCTAGGTCCAAAACTCTGCAGACCTCCCTTCCAAATTCTATTCTTCCTCCTCCTTCACCAGGTCCTGCGCAATCATTCTTCACCCTCTTTTTTGGTAGCTTTTACAGGAACTCCAAGAAAGCAGAAGCTGCTCTGAGATGCTAACAAATCAAAGTTCAAAGAAGAGTGAGTTTGAGGAAATTTTCCTATTCAATGTGATACCACTTATTCTCTAAGAAAGTTGTTCTACCTAGGTTATGAAAAAGCAGTCTGTTTGCTAGTTAAGGTTAAGAGAGTGTAAATAAAAGCATCCTTACTCAAAGGAAAAAATGTCAATTCAGAAGACTCTGCTACTGTGCTGATCTGGTTCTCCAGTGTAAGGTGAACTAGGAACTTGTCTCAGCAGCACTGTTATTTGTTGTTCAGAATGAAAAGCCAGTGAACTCCTGGGACACTGCCAGAGAGGCCTGGGAAAAAAAGAAAGCCCTCAGATTTGTGAATAGCTGTTTGTATCTTACTGGAAATGCCCCCATCTGAACCGCATAGATAGCATTAGCACTACTGCCAAGGAGAAAATCTTCACTGAAGAGAGGAAGGGGCAACACTTGAAGGGACTTTCAAAAGCCCAACTCGAGAGATTTGTATCTTTCAAGAGAGAAAAAAAGGGAAAGTCACATGTGGTCTCTCCTCTATAATACAGTCACATGGAGACAGTACTTGAATTGCAAACGGTGAAGTTATAGTCACAAAGAACACAGCCCTACCTAGTGTTCAAATGCCCAACCACTAACCAAATGACCCTTCCCATGGAAGTTTTCCATTCCAAATGGCCAGAAAGGCTAATTTTTCTAAACGGTCACTGCTTGAGGGCCAAAAAGAAACACTGAACATTCTAGCTGGATGAAACCTTATTTATTACCTGTTAGACTACGAACTCTTCCAAGATAAGAGTGTGGTGCTTTTTAAAAAAAATTTCTTTGGCATACAGAGAGAAGAAACTTAGTTGTCTGTTAAATAAGTAAATGAACAGCTCAATCTTTGCATTTCAAAGGCTAGAGGCAAAGATTTGCTTACAGCTGGGCAGAGCCAAGGCTAGTAAGCCAGATTTTTTATCTCCAGTCAGGAATCTTTTATATTGCTGGGATTTTTCTATCCACAAAAAGTAAATCAATAGCTACAATATGATGATGGTTGCAAAATTGTGAATATACTAAAAACCATTGAATTGTACACTTTAAATGGTTGAATCATATAGTATGTGAATTATATCTCAATTAGGCTGTTATTTTTAAAAAGCTATATTACTAACAAACGAAAGAAAACATATTGAATGAATATATAAAAATAAATTTAAATCCTCTTAACAAGGTGGCAAAATACTATTGTATGTCAATGTGAAGGCTTTAAAAAAATTCAAGCCAAATTATCTATACACTAAATATGAAATAAAAAAATCCAAACTTATGTTAAATAAACTAGGGAAATGACTATTATTACTTTAGAGTTCATTTGACTTAAAAAGGACTAGCCACAAGGTATTAAATATTTTAAATTTCACTGTCCTTTACTTGGAAAATGACTCAGAAACTTAAGGCTGCACTAAAAATAAAAATGGGTTATCTCCACAATTTTGAAGAAAGTTAATGGTAAAGTATGATAGAAATTTAACTTACACTCAACTTTTTCCAGAAATGTCAATCTTTTAAAGCAAGGTACTCCTTTTATTTTTCTTTCTTATTAATAAACTTTATTTTTTATTTTATTTATTTATAAATATATATTTATTGATTTCAGAGAGAGGAGGGGAGAGGGAGAGACAGAGAGAGAAACATCAATGATCAGAGTCATTGATTGGCTACCTCCTGTATGTCCCCCACTGGGGATTGAGCCCACAACCCGGGCATGTGCCCTGACCCGGAATCCAACTGCAATCTCCTGGATCATAGGTAAATGCTCAACCGCTGAGCCATGCCCAGCCAGGCATTAACAAACTTTATTTTTTAGAGCATTTTAAAATTCACAGCAAAATTGAATGGACAGTACAGAGAGCTCCTATACTATCTGTATATTTTGAACACTTAAATCGCCAGTGACTGAGAAATTCTATTCTAGTTGCAATATGGACAATAATTTTGGGGCTTTAGATAATTTAATGTAACTCTTTTCTTAAAAACACATAAAAACAAAGAATTCACACTCATATTCTCACAATTCTTTCCTAAGACATTCACCCATTCTTTTTATTAAAATGCTACCAACCCTTTTTTCCCCATCATAATTGTTTATTTAATATTTGCTGCCACCTAGAGGTAAAAATAGTTTGTTTACAGACAATTATCTTGAGAATGGCTAACAGTGTTTTCCACTAGAGGAAAACTAAAAGCAGAAGCGGGTGGAAGAGTTAATTCACCCATTTATTATTCTTTATTTCTTTTTTTGCCATGTGTTATAGTCAACACTTCCAAATGATTTTTCAAAGCTATCCTGATTTTCTTTTGCTAGAAGCTTAATAAGCCTGAGGGAGAGTCACTGTTATCAATAACAGGTTCTTCTCCAAGTTAGCTGAGAAATGCCATTTTGCATGATATAAATGTAGCTGCTACTACTTGTCTTGAATTGTTGTTTTATCAGGATATATGACATTTAAATGAAATGAGGTCATTTCCAGTGCTTACATTCTGAGATTTCATGGTGTTTTCAGTTTTCTAAAATCTTTTTTTTTTAATTGAAATATTCCAAACACAAAGGATAGCATAGAGAATAACAACATTTTCACATCCACTATTTCATTTTATCTCAAAATAACTCAGATGGGCAAGGACAAAAGGAAGTGAAAGAGCACTTCCTGAGTGTCTACTATGTGCCAGGCATTTTAGATCTAGGTATTTCTCAAATGTCTTTTGAGGTCAGTGTGATCAGCCTTATCCATAGAAGATAATGTTCCAAGGCTCAGGGAGACTAAGTCACTGGTAAAGGGTCACATAGCTGGGAGTACCAGAGCTGGGATCCAAACTGTGTATCTGTCTGGTTCTAACACACCTCTTTCCTTTCCAGCATTACCATTCTGCTTCCACTTTTGAACACGTTTTTGTGTGTTTTTTTTTAAATAAGCCATTGCCTTTTCTTTTTCTTTTTTCCCCCCAAACACATCTGCATTGATTTTAGAGAGAGGAAGGGAGAGGGAGAGAGAGGGATAGAAACATCAATGATGAGAGAGCCACTGACTGGCCGCCTCACGCATGCCCCCGACTGGGGATCGAGCCCGCAACCCGGGCATGTGCCCTGACCAGGAATCGAACCTCTATCTCCTGGATCCTAGGTCGACACCCAACCTCTGAGCCACGCCCGGTGAGGCCGAACACGTTCTTGAAGTAGGCAGGGTAAATACTGTTGACTCCATTTTACAGATAAATTACTGGAGGTTCAGAAAGATAAAACACGTTGCCCAAGTTCACGTAAATAGCTAACAAGCGGCAGGAATGAACAAGACCCAAAGCTTCTCATTCCACATTTATTACTCTTCCTGTCAAGCTACATTTACTGTAAATTAAAAAAAGAAAAACTGCCCAGCTGGTGTGGCTCAGTGGTTGAGCAGCAACCTGTGATCTAGGAGATCGCGGTTTGATTCCCGGTCGGGGCACATGCCCGGGTTGCGGGGCTTGATCCCCATCAGGGGGAGTGCAGGAGGCAGCCGATCAATGACTCTCTCCCATCATTGATGTTTCTCTCTTCCAGTTCCTTCCTCTTTCTGAAATCAATAAAAACATATTAAAAAAAAACTTGGGAAAAAATTAATATCTATAAATTTTCCAACTATATTTATCAGCTGAATTATGAGCTTTACTAGTTATCCAGTCTAGAAATGAGAAATTCATCTACACAGATATGAAATTATTTTGGTAAGCTTATTGTTTCTGAACTTAGAAGATAATATTTTAACTGAAGTAAAGATTACATAAAGTATGCAAATCTAACAGGTACAGCTTGACAAATTTTTACAAATGAATATATTCATGAAACTACTGCCTTTATCAAGTATTTCTGAACATTTTAATGAGTAACAACTATTAAACTTTAAGCCCAGATGCAAGGCAAGAAAATCTTAACCACCCCTATATATCAATAGAGATTTTTATGACACAACCAAGGAAGCTAAGATTGTATAAATCACTAATTTTTTGCCATAACTGACAAAAGGAGGAGCAGCATAGTCACTCTATGGGAGACATTTGAGAACAACCTATGTCCTCTCTTTTGGGGCCTGAGACTCTCTGATAGCACAAAGAAAATTTTTCCTTGCTGCGAGGTTAGCAACTGTGACTATGTTGCATAGTTCTCAAACTATGAAAAGATCTTTTCTCAGAAAATAGACTATATATCTGCAAAAAAGAAGAAACGTGACATTTGCAAATACAAGTCAAAAGTTCAAGTCCTCTCTACCTTTTCCCTGTTTTGTTTATTTTCTGTTTCTATTCAAGCCCAAGGAGGATCTCACCATTGGCCTGAGGAAGATAAAAAAAGGGGATTAGACTCCACTCCCCTCAGCATCACTTCCTGGTTCATTCACTTATTCAACAAATATTTGTTGAATGCTTACTGTGTGCCAGGCACTGTCCCAGGCACTGCTGGGATACATTAGTGGACAAACAATGCCCCATGGCACTTACATTCTAGAAGAGAAGGTGACCTGGGTCGAGCTGACAGAAGCTCCACTGAGGCATTGGGCATTTCTTCTGCCATCCTCTCCAGGCCCAAAGGACTAATTCTGAGCCTGATCCATCCAGACAATTGAAGAATCTTTAGAGAACAGGCAGGAGTAGCGTAGATAATATCTAGATATTGTTTGGAAATGAATTCTTGAAGAAGAAAAGGAGCCTGAAACTCATTTCTATTTCCTGGAGTTCCATCTCAATGCAATCAAAGATCACAGTAAAGTCCGGTTCAGAGAGGAGAGATATCCCTAATTGTGGCAGCCAGTAAAATACTCACCGGTTTTTGGAGTCGTCCAGCAATGTATAAGTTATTCCAGTTGAGGAGATCTTCAATCAAAATACTAGTGCTAATAACCCCATATTTGATAAGCTGGAAAAGAAAAGAAATGGGCATGAAAAGGAGCACAATACCACATTGTTGCTTATGCAAATGCAAAATATAAAGAAATGCATTTTTGCCCAGAGTAGTACCTTTATTTCCAAAGCCACTCAAAATGTTTACTTTGTAAAAACATGCATCTCTACCAAAATTTTTCCCAAAGGATAAGTTTCCATATACCTCAGGTATATGAGGTAAAGTGACCACTATTTTAACTCAGACTCTTGTGATGTTAAAAGGCAAAATGGCTCTTAGAGGCTATCTAGTACTGGTCCTCAATGCACTGGAAATAAAAAACTGGTCCTTCAGCACAGTTTGAGGAGTGATCATGTATTTCATGCTTCTCATTTGAGAAATAAGAAACCTGAGGCTCAGAGAGAATAAATGATGTGTCCAAGGTGGCATTTAGAAGCAGAGACAAAACTAGGTCCCTAAATTTTATTTAAAAAAAATATTTAAAAAAAAAATATGTCTTTACTGATTTCAGAGAGAGGAAGTGAGAGGGAGAGAGAAACATCAATGATGAGAGAGTCATTGATTGGCTGCCTCCTGTACACCCCCAAATGGGGATTGAGCCTGCAACCCGGGCATGTGCCCTGACCAGGAACAAACCGAGATCTCCTGGATCACAGGTTGAGCTGAGCTATGGCGGCCCGGTAGGTCCCTGAATTTTAGTCTAGATTTCCGACTTTCATTTTATTACAAAGTACAAGGAACTTTTGTTTATAATTAAAAGTTTTTACTGACATCTTTTACATGGTAAATTTTTCTTTCACTGTGGGCTATCCAAACACTTTTATAATTACAAAGCTACATCCAAAAGTAAAACCTCTTTATCAATGCTGAAATGGAATTATGGTCAAGCTCATGCAATAGTAATTTGTACAAACCCTGAATACAGTTGTTCCAGGTTACAAAATCTCATTTGTTTCAACAAATATCTCTGGCTTCGCTTTGCTGAATTTCAGTATCCCAACAGCCTTCTCAGGATACAAATATCTAAAAAGTAGCTAAAGAATTTTAATTAAAAAGTACAGTCCCTTTGGCATATAATTATGCTCAAATATTTGGTTACTGGAGCTTTTAATATTGTATGAAACTACTAATTAGAGATAGGCTCAGCATAATATTAATTATGGACAAAGAACAAAGCTACATGCTTGGCATGACTAAAGTAGACATGGAAGGCTGTGCTGAATAACCTCCCCTCCACTATAGCCACAGTATTGCTGAAAGCCTTCTTGCTGCAGGCAAGTAAAAGCTGGGAGGTAACAGAAATACCACTGGCATGGAGGTCAGGGGCGTATCACTAACTAGCTGCATGAGCTTATGGAAATTATTTTCTCTCTGATCCTTGGTTTTTCCATCTCCAAAGTACAGGTGGAGAAGGATTGGATCTCAACCAAAAAGTTAAACCCATGGCCCAAAGGTTATGCAAACATTACCAATAATCAAAGCATTCATTCCTGCCAAGTTCAGACAGGTCTTCAAAATCCTTCTCAGTCAGTACTCAACCTCCTGGCCTTCAAAGTGTGGTCCCCTGACCAATAACATCAGCATCGCCTGGGAGCTTGAAAAAAAATTACAGAATCTCAGGCTCCATTCCAGACCAACTGAATCAGAATCTGCATTCAACAGGATCTTCAGGTGCACATCAAAGTGTGACTGCTCTAAGCAGTCAGCAGCACTGAGCAGAGCTGGCACGGCTGGTGGAATCCCTATGTCATCCTCAGCCCAGCTAATCTCTAGGAAGCATCTGATTTACTCCCCCTGGGTCTTCTTAAACTGGGATCCTGCCTAGTTCTTGGCAATCCTCTTAGAGATTGGGCCTCTTTATCTGAAATATAGTTCAGCAGGGTTCCTGCCGTCAGACAATCCTCTGCTGAGATCCATGCATCTTACCTTCTCTCCAACAATTCATCATCAGATTCCACCAACCTGCTGGCATCAAGAGGTTCCTACCACTTGGCACCACATGCTCCCAACTACCTATGACATCCTCTTCACTTCCAAATTCTTCCTGGGAGTGTCAGCCCCTCCATATAGATAAGATTAATTTCCACTCTGATCCTTAATGTGCCTGCCTATTCTTCCCAACTGACTAAACCACTGGGTCTCAAAGTGTGTTTTCCAGACCAGCAGTAGCATCATTTGGAAGCTTGTTAGAAATGCAAATCTTCATTGCTAAGAGGGTAAATCTTAAAAGTTCTCATCACAAGAAAAAATATAGCTATGTGTGGTGATAGATATTAACTAAACTTATTGTGGTGATCATTTCATAATATATACATATATTAGTGTTGTACACCTAAAATTAATACAATATTATATGACAATTATATTTCAATTTACAAAAAAAGCAAATCCTCAAACCCTACTCCAGACCTATGGAGTCAGGAACTCTGGGGTGGGGCCCAGCAATCTGGGTCTAACAGGCACTCTAGGGGATTTTGATGCACTCTGAAATTTGAGAGCCACTTGGTCAAAGGCGAATGACAGTTACACTTGACCATCTTCATCCAGCAGGAGCTTGAACATTTCCTTACCGCAAGAACATGCACATTTAACTAGTATTCTAATAACAAAGGTTAATAACAACCCAAGTTAAGACAAAAGCCCAAAGTCACTTACCCTACCATCACACATGAGCAACGGATTGTAGTAAACTCCAGCGCCATAGTTATTCTGGATAGTGGTGATAACCTTGGGCCCCAAAACTTTTAGGAAAGAGTAATGGCTCTGATTTTTCTTCAGGTTCTTTGAATGCCATGCAACAGGGTCATCTACTGTAAACACAAAGTCCAGCATGACATTCTGGGAGGTGAAGAAAAGAGAATGATTTTAGTTTTAGTTCTTAGAAAGGCATCCAGATAACAGTGGAAAGCTCTACAATTCTATGCCATTATGATTAATAAAAGACCTGGGGTTTTCATCAGAATTTAAGCAAGTCTCTGGAACCAACCTCAGCTCTGTTTTCATCAATACACATAATAATACTTATTTAACATGCACTGTTGTGCCAACACTCTTAACACTTTATATATTATACATACAGTAATTCATTTTATCCTCAAAACAAATCATACAAGGTAGGCACTGGTACTATCCCAATTGTATAGGGAAAAAAACAAACAAACCGAGGTGTGGAGTAAATTCCTTGCCCCAGGATGCAGAGTTAGTGAGTGGCAGACAGTCCGGTTCCAAATTCTGTGTGCTGAGCCACTATTCTACACTGCCTTTCATATGAATGTTGCTGAATATGCTCCCCTTTCCTTCCAGATAAAATAACCCCATGTAGGTAAGCTCTATATGGTATTATGTAGAGGGAAATGTTATTCTAACTCTCACCCACTCACCAACCACTCACTGAGGATGTACAATGAGCTCTGATAGATCCTGAGGTTGTGGTCAAGAGCACCAAGTCTACTGGGAAAATAGACACATTATCAGCAAATGGACTTGACAGAATGCAAAATGTACTAATTTCACTCAAAACTGGGTCAGAATAGGAAGTGTACATTTTCCTATAAAATTACATTCTTCAAAAGTCTAATAAATCTGAGTCTTGAAAAATGTGCAAGACTTAAGCAGGCCTGGTGGAAGTATTAAGAGAAGCACCAAGAAGGGGAGTCCTGTCTAGGGAAAACACTCCTGTGGGTGTGAGCAGCGGGCTTGTTCTGTGCGCTGCATCTAGTTTGCTATGGCAGGAACAGAATGCAGGCAGGGGAGTGGTGAGAGATGAGACTAGAGAGGGAGGCTGGCTGCCATGCTAAGAAATTTTCCTACAGCAGAGCTCACTGGAGGGAGGAGAGAATAAAGGCTGGAGGGCACATAGGAGGCTAACTGCATGATTCCAGGTGAGAAAAGAAACTAAGGCACTGAAGGGTATAGAGACTGATCTGACATAGATTTAAGGTGTTGAATCTACAAGACTTATTAACCTGTAGGAAATAGGAGTGAGGGAAAGCAAAGGACCTTTTCTTGGAGGGAATGCTACCTCTGCTCAAAGGAAAATTTTCATGGAAAAATGAAGAGGTGGCTATCAAATCAGAAGGCTAAGGCCTGCTCTGAGTTTCCCATAATGTGACCCATAAACCACTGGTGATACTTAAGATTTGGGGTGGACATGTTTTAAAAAATTCATAATTATGTTAATATTTTTAAAAAGATAACTAGCCTACAGTAAGCTATCATTTATATACCTATAATCTATAATTTCTCATATGCTGTCAGTTTAAAGAAAAGTATTACTTAAAAACTAGTGTAGCCCTGGCCAGTGGCTCAGTTGGTTGGAGTATCGGCCAGTACACAAAAGGTTTCGGATTTGATTCCTGGTAAGGGCACATACCTAGGTTGCAGGTTCGATCCTCGGTTGGCAACCAATCGATGTTTCTCTCTCTCTCCCTTCCTCTCTCTGTAAAATCAATAAACATATTCTCGAGTGAAGATAAAAAACAAAACAACAAAAAAACTAGTGTAGGTAGGAAACAGCAAATCCAAGCAACAGTATAGACTGATGGCCAGACAGGTTACAGCCAGGTATCCAAATCCAATGAACTGTTAGGCTATGCATGAACTACGGCAAGTATAAATCCAGTTCAGAACACAAGCTGCACACACAGTGGACAACTCTATTTAGACTTTTGTTCCTTCTATGTTAATTCAGCAAAAGCTCTAAAGTCCTGTTAGAAAAGTCGCCAACAGCTTCATTTAAATGGAAAGTATCTGCCCGCCACTCTTCTGCTGTCTTGAATCTTGTCTCCACCTTGGAAGCAAACTTTATTTTCAGAGAAAAATCTGCAATCACAAGGAAAATTGCACCCTCGCTGCTGTTGTGCTCAGCGGACTCAGAAGGGTAATAATGCCTAATCCTAAAGAGCCTCGTTAAATGCCCTAAGCGTGGGTAAGTATACTGGTCACCCACTAACTTTCCCTCCTCAGTGCACTTCACTGCACCTGCCCTGGCCCTACCACCAGTCCCTCCACTTCCTGAAGTCAGGAAGATCATTTTGTATTTTCTCCTACAGCTCTGGACAGTCGCTCTGAAGCTTGGCTGTGCATTAGAATCACCTGGGAAGGTTTTGAAATTATCTGAAATTACTGAAGCCTGGCCCAGCCCAATTAAATCAGAATCTCCGCTGGTGGAACCCAGGCATCAGTATTTTGTAAAGCTTCTCGGAGCACTACGTGTTCGGCCAAGGCTCAGGACACTGAACCAGCACCTGGCAAATATTTCTCTTCCATTCAACCATCAAGCAAGCTTCTGCCTCAGCTTTCCCCTCCGCATAACTGCATCTCCTGCTCTGGACGGGAAGTGGACTCCTACTTATCTTAAACACTCAGCTCACACTATTGTTATACTAGGAGCACTTTTATAGAGTTTGTACTTCGCTCGCTGAGACGTGGAGCGCGCAGAGCAGCCAGGCAGCTCCAGGGCTCCGGAGCGATGCGAAGCAAAAGGAAAACTCGTGCGCAAAGGCCGATTCTGGGCGTGGGGCTGGCCCCAGGCCGGGCTCACCTTCTGGTTTGAACTGGGCCCCGCCTGGCGGTACACCCCAGAGCCATAGGCGAAAGCCAGGCTCAGGTCCTCGGGGAAGTGAGACAGGATCCTGCGGAAGGCCACCCCCGAGCTCTGCAGCGCCTGCAGCGCCATCGGGCCGAGGCGCGCACGGGCACCCCCGGCGGGGCAGGGCGGGGC